ATTGCCTCATGATACCAGTAGTGACACTGACCCTAGCCAAATGAAAAACTAGTGAAAAACAGTCAGAAAAGATAAGTAGGGAAAAAAATGTCAGGGGCCTCCACCTGTAAAACCATTCCTGTTTTAGGGGTTGTCTCATTGTTGCCCATCTAGTGAACCTGTTGTTAATTTCATTAACACCAAAGCAGCTGAAACTGATTAACAACCCCCTCTGCTACTTAACTGACCAGATCAATATCCCAGGAGTTTAGCTGACTAGATGCTGTACTCTGATTAAAAGGTGTTCCTTTAATTCTTTTGAGCAGTGTATTTAAGTGCATAAATGAGCTAATTCAATGGACAAGCAAGGAGCGTAGGAGTTAAGTGCAGTAATCCATAACAATTAATCAGAGTTCTGTAGTGAAAGAAGACCAGTACATAGTGAAATCCAAATGGTTCCTATGGCTAGCATACTTTGCTGTTTGCGCTGAATAAGCTCTGCAGTAGGGATGATCAAAATCATTCATTTTAATTTGCTTGAAGATTCAGCAAGAATGGAGTCTGACCTGCCCAGGGGATGAGTCCAGAAATTCCTGCTATGCCTTGCCTCCTATTACCTCACAAATAGACTGACAGGTCAGGAGTATCCTTGTCTGTCATGACTCAAGGCCATCCACACCTGCGATCGTGCCTGGTTGTTGCTGCTAATTACATTAGGCATTTTTTAAAGGTATTTATCTGCTAAATACTGAAGATGGTCTGAAAATATATACATATTGCCACCTGATAGATGAATTTCACATGTAACCTCGAGTTCAGCTTTGAATCAATGGTTGTCAAGCTTGGTGGTGTAGGAAACAGTCAAAATTTGAACTGTGTATGGCTTAAGCCTGGCAGGTGCTCTACAGGAACTTGGAAAATGAATTGTGCCTATTTGGTGCTTGTATGTAAAGACATTGACAGAAAAGTAGTATATTGCCCAGTGCAACCAGGCTTTTATTTGTTTTTATTTTCTAACATTTTCAGGATTATTATAGGATTTGGGTTCAAAGAAATCTGTGTTGAGAGAAATTTGTAGACTGCCGTTGCCGATCTAAAATGTTGCTTGCCTGGGTCTCAAGTAGGCAGGTGAGGATAGGCAGAGTGAAGTCAGGACTTCTAATGTGCATACATGTTCCAGGTTTAGGACTTAAATGTTGAGGCCACTGGAACTAGCATTTTTATAGGGGAGGTAAAGGTTGTCAGCCTTCATGCTTCCTCAGTAAAGTTTTCCTTTAACAAGTGGTACTTCTTTGCGGGGCTTTTTATCTCAATGAATAGGTGCCAGTACTCCCCCATTCCAAAATACTCCTTGTTTCCGCCATCTACCTGCCTCTAAGCACCATTTCATGGTCTCACCTCCCAATATTGCCCCTTTTAGAGAATACAGAACCAAGTATCATTCTGTGGTGCTAAGTAATTTGTATGGAATTTGTTAATGATAACAAGAAAAGCATCCAGCAACAATATCCCCACTCCCCCCGCAACAACAACAGATCCCCCAGCAACAAGAGATCACCACTATCAACAATAGACCCTCAACAATAAAAATACCCCCCCCCCAGCATCAGTAAATCTCACAATAGCCTCCATCAATGGAACTTCCAGCAGCAGCAGCAGTAGATCCCTCCCAGCAAAAATTGCCCAACCCTGCAACAATAGCCACCCCCCAGTGACAAGAGATTCCCTAGCAACCAGCATCAATAGGCCCTCCAGCACACCCTACCATCCCTTTGAGATTACACACTTTCAGTGCAGGTGCCGTAACTGCATTCCTGCAGAAATAAAAGCCCTTCTTCTTTGTAACCTTTTTATCATTATAGATCCCTATAAATGTAGAAAAATGTTCTATACCGTTGCCTAAAAATAGTTTCTTCTGTTTATACAAAATGGGTGGGGGGGGTGTTTAAAACTGTACATTTTAAATGACCATATAAGCAAACAAATCCATATAAGCTAACTATGGATACAGCGTGAATATGGTCGTGAGTATGGCAGTTTATAGGGCTTGATTCCAACCAAAGATACATTTCCTCCTGTATTGCCCATAGGTTTTCTACTTCTAACGCTTTCTACATCAGATGCAGAAAATGTGATGCTGCTGTCCCATTCTATTGTTCTGAGATAGCGAAATGCTGAAGGCTTGCTCTATTATAACAATTTGACATAGTGATGTATTGACCACATATGAGAATTGGACTATGTTATTGAATGGTTTAGTTCAAATCTATACAGTTAAATGCAGTGCACTTTGAAAGCGTACTCCCAAACCCCTATATGCATCACCCTGATCACAGCCTGATTTATGTGCAGCGTAATGATTGGCATGCTCTTTAGGAAACCTTCACCACACTAAGACCACAGTTGGAAAACCACGGGCCTTTCTTCCCTAGAGTTTTTAGCATGCAGGTGGGAAAGAGTCCTCAGGCCAATGACCAAATTTTTAACACAGGCACTTCATGCACTTCTGCTTTCAAAGTGTTAGAGTGTACATGATACTTGAAATTCTACAGCTATGTGTCACAGGACATATATAGCACTGGCCAATCTCATCTGCATCTTGCCTGTTGAATTGAATGTATCTGAAATACAGGCAACCACTCAACATTGAGCAGGTGACTCCAATTGTTGTTTAACCAAAGTTTTAGATGTCCCTTCGTGGCCAATAGCTATTATTATAAATAAATACCCATATGGTTCTAAAGTGTCTCTTCGGGTTTTGAAATAATTAGCTTGAATAGGCCAATGTACCCAAATGCAGCATACAAGACTTTCCAACATCACAAGATGCATTGAAGGGACACAGAAGCTGATGAAAACCATGGACTGTGAATGATATCAATACATTTTGCCTTCACCATGAACAATTAAATATTGTCTTTGATACTTTTTTTTTATTTGTACTAACATCCATATTTTCAGGATAAGCTATTGTGACGTATCCCCTTCTTCAGGGTCCAAGCAGTACATAAAATGTAGAAACATGCATGACAACACATTTTCTGGAAATTAATCTTTAGGGGTTGAGTGTTATGGGTTGTTGAAACATATCTAAACCCAAAATCAAAAATGTAATATCTTACTGCTTTACTATGAAGGCCTGCATTACTTTTCTCCTTTTATTTTTCTCTTGGTAATTATGTGCATAACACACTTCCTATCTCTGAGTGGCTACACTAGGTCCTCTACTGTATATGGAGAAAGCTATGGTTGTCACCTAGGCTGTAGGTCAAGCATGCCTTCCCTTGTTTATCTCTAACACACAGAGAAAGGGGAGATTAGTAAATTACAGAAGATATGTGTTTTTGATGTTTTTATATAAACTAACAAATACTGTACATTTCTGGTAGGATCAGCTGGTACGTTCTGTGTGTGGTGAAATGTTGTTAGCCAGAGAAAAACAAACTAATGCAGCCACCATATTTAAGGACAGATAAGCTGCAATATATTATATTTTATTATTTAAGGCTGGGGGGAGGGACTGAGGTGATACTGGAAGGGTGTGTTTTTTTTGCCAAAGCTCCACACCCATTACTACTGTACTGTACTGATGGGTATGAAAGGTGATGTAACAACCTCGTAGGTTTATTATTTAAATATGCTCTAAAGGCAGATAGATTTTTTACCATAATGCATACTATGCATTAAGGAATAAAACCTTCTGCATGCAGCTTCCCCCCCAATCCCTTCTAAATACTTACCTGAGACCATTCTCAATCCAGCGATGTGAATGAGAGCAGAGGCTCTGTCTGCTCTCTCCCTCCTCATTGGTCAGAGAGGCAGCAGCAGGAGCCATTGTTTCCTGCTGCTGTCAATCACAGCCTGTGAGGACAGAGTGGGGGGGGGGGCGCGTGACGGAGCCGCGCTCTGTGTGTTAATGGACACAGAGCTGGCTCGGGAGTGAGCACGCACGAGTGCCCCATAGCAAGTGGTCTGTATGGGGGCACTCACAAAGGGGAGGGTCCAGAAACACCAGCAGGGGACCCCAGGAAAGGAGGATTAGGCTGCTTTGTGGAAAACCATTGCACAGAGCAGGTAAGTATGGCATGGTTGTTATTTAAAACAAAATGCTTTTAGAATAACTTTAATTGCAAGCACTTCTACTCTTTACATATAAACAAACACAAGAATATTATCCAAAAAAATTATTTTATTTCTTTTATAAAAAAAGACTTAGAAAACATATACAACATTCATTCTTCAAGTTGGTCTGAAAGCTGCATGCAGCTTTACACAACATTTCTCTACACATACACACACGCACACACAAAACGCATACAAACATATATAAAAATATAGCCATTTACAATATATTCACATATTTTACAGAATTATTATAAAAAAGGCACAGAGGGTTTGTATGCAGAGACCGCTGAAAATGTACAAGGCATTTTCTTTGTGCACTTCAATATCTACAACTTAACCCTCCCATAAACCCTCATGTTTGCACTTGCTCCCATTTTAAAAAATATGTAAGATATAAAACGTTTTTGCTGTGCAGAAAAGGTACAGTTTTTTTTCTTAAGGCACGAGTCCTTTAAGGCAGAACTTCTCAACTTGGCCATATTATTTGGGTTTGATCATTTGCATTGAAGTAAAGTCTTATAAATGTTCATTGTCATAGCAAAACAGTGAAAATATAAAACAATTATGACTGAAAAGGCACCTGAGATTCTGACGAAAGGCACTGTGAAAGAAAATACTATCCGGCTGAAATGGTTTAGGCAAGAATTCGATCTTGATCTCTGTAGGCAAAAGTCACATCAATTTGATGCTAGAGGCCTTTTGCTTGAATGCTGAAAGGTGCTGTTCACCTGTCAGAATTTCAGATCCATGCTGAAAACCGCTTTGGTTTGATTCTTTGGTAGGCAGAGGTAAAATACCTTAGGATTGTCCCCAGGCTGCGTAGAAGGAACCCTGAATGAGCTTGTCAAGTCCTGACTGATGCGTCAGCATGCACTCATGTGTTGGACGCCAAGTGTCAGTGTGCTACGCAGCAGCCAGACTCCTCGTGCTTGTGCAGTAGGGACATTCTGGAAAAAGTTTTGGAACAGCTTTTGCATTGATATTTCTTCACATCTGAATGGGTTTGCAAATGAGCCCTCAAGTTTGACCTGTCTGCGAAAGCTCTGTTGCAATGTGGGCATGAGAAGGGCTTTTCTCCTGTAAGGAAAGAAACAGATACAGTGTTAGTAAAAAGTTCTCAGTAAATACTATGTATCTTTTCTTAGCAAAGTCTCATGAAGGATTCAATAGAAGAAGACAATGGAAAAGACTGGTTAGCTGAACAATGTGGGACATTTAGTAAATCTGGTGCAGTCATGTGTGGTAGCCAATCAGCTTCTAACTAGTTCAAATAAACTTTGGCAAGAACACCTAGAAGCTGATTGGTTTGTATGCAGAGCTGCATCAGATTTTGAACTCTCAAGTTTTAGTAAATCAATCCTACTGGCTTATTAATTATGTTAGAAGTCAAAGTAATTGTGATGTCCAAAATGCAATAACCTGTAGAAAGTAGACTTTACTGTTTATCTGTTCAGAGCTCTTAATCCAGTGCTGAACTGTTGCTGATGGGAATGGTGAACTTTGCTCAGAAGAGCATGGTTCCAAATTTAGCCAGTTTAGCATGGACCACCTGAATTTTGTTATATGTATGGCCTAGCTGGTTGGACATGTCAATCAATATATCAACCTGTGTACAACCAGCTGGCCCATACATGGATCGAAATTGAAGGCTGAAGGCTCCTCACCAGCAGGATACAATAGCTCAGCAGGAGTGATGCCCCCATCCACCTCAGATGTGTGGATGGGACAATCAGTTTTTTTTTTTGTTCAACTAGTCCATGTATGGCCTGCCTTAAACACAGTATCCCAGGGCACCTCACGTTGATTGCAGAATGACTTACTTTTTTTTTAAGACCAACAGAGTGTCCTCAAAAATCTTGCACTTGTTGCAGATCATATGGTGCTGCTTATACAGTGCTTACAAACATACTGAATGCATTTGAGCTGCTGGACTAAAGTGCATATCATATGATGGGACTGGAATATACAGAATGAAGCAAACAGGATGTTACAGCTTCAGACTGGATGCTATGGGGTGAGCTGGCCATACATTTTCTTGTACAATTTTCCTTTGGATTTACCAAAACCATATAATATGAGGTTGAATCTAAACACTTTCAATTTTCCATGCAATCAGGCAGGCCCTTTTACTACATAGTTGAAGGTAAATCTAAAGGAAATTGAATATGAAAATTGTGTAATTTATGGCCAACACTTTCATAGTTCAACCCCAATGACTACTAGGGACCCACTGATCAGTGTGCAAACCTTTGGAAAGCCTACTGCAATACCAAATACAAGTGCATTGAATAAATACTATTCCTACAGCTGTCCCATCCATTTCCTACCATTCCACATCACTAATGAGCAAAGTCTGTAGCACGTTACCTGTGTGAGTTCGGATGTGTCCTTGCAACAACCAGGGTCTGAGAAAGCCTTTCCGCAGATCTTGCACACACAAGGTAACGTATGGGTCCTGATGTGCATCTTTAGCGCTCCCAGGCTCACGTACTCCTTTTCACAGTATTTGCAGCTGAACGATTTCCTAGACTGAGAATCGCAGTGCAGCTGCTTGTGCTTGGCCAGCCCGGAGAAGGTAGAGTAGGTCTTACTGCACAAGCCGCATTGAAACTTTTCCACATCTATGGCATGGGGGTCAGAAAGTTTGGACTGGATCCTCTCCTCCTCGTCGCTGATCGGACTCTCTGAGCCGCTGTGGTCTTTGGATGAGCCGTCTGATTGGGGAGGAGGACTGACGCGTCCCAGCGATGAAGGGTATCCTGACAGAGGTGACAGGTCATTGGGCAGGGGAGGGAGGAAGAAGGCTAGTCCACACTGTGATAGGGCTGTAGGCAACCGTGCTGAGGATGTCTGCTTGAGGGATCACTGACACCGGGTATCTTTCATACAGGAATGGAGAGATGATCACTGGAGAGGCAGAACACATGAAACTACAATGACTACATATAATAAAACATGAGTGCAGAAAACACACAACATTCAGCTCCAATATACCGACAGGTATCTAATGGCTGATTACAAAGAAATCTGAAGAATACAGTCACATGGCTGAGTGCCTTCAAAGCTTGTGATCACCAGAGAATCAAGACACAGTGCTTATTACAGGATTTCTTTAGCGCCAACAGTTTGCACAACGCTTTACAAAACAGAGGGAGACAGAAAAGTTACAAAACAATTTGATACAAGACGATTTGGAGAGCCTTGCTCACAGGAGCTTGCAATCTAAAATCTACAATCTTATTTCAAATGCATTAACACTGAGCTGTGCACTAACACTATAAAACGTAATCCAGTAACTGATGAACTAGAAATGTTTGCTGATCAGAAGAATCCTATGTATGGTCATCAGCGAAGAAATCAAGACACATCACTTATTTCATATTAACAATGGGCTGTTCATTGACACTGTGCAAAGTCATCCAGGAACTTTCATGAACTTAAAAAAGTTTGCTGATCAGAAGAATCCTATGTATTATTACCAGTACAGAAATCAAGACACACTGGGGGAATTTACTAAAACTGGAACAGCTGTACATGGCAACCAATCAGCATCTAGCTTCAGCTTGGTAAATTAAGCTTTGAAAATGAAAGCTAGAAGTTGATTGATTGCCAGGCACATCTGCGGCAGATTTTGGATGCTCCAGTCTTTGGAAATTCCCCTTTGCTGCACTTTTTATATGCACTAACAAGTAACTAATACTGCAGAAGAATCCCGTGATGATCTTTGATCTATGATATGATCATCAGAAAGACCCCATGACACAGCACTTATTCCATATGTAGAAACCCTAAAATGTGCACTGACACTATACAAAGTAATCCAGGACTCTGATGAACTAGAAAAGTTTATTTTGAATTACAAAAGGGAAACTTAGAAAAACTGGAACAACTGTGTGTGTCAACCAATCAGCCTCTAGCTTTCATTGTTAAACCTTAACTGTACAAGCTGAAGGTAGAATCTGATTGGTTGCCATGTACTGTTGCTCCAGTTTTGATAAATTCCTTCCTATGAATGGTTGATTGGCTGAGAAATCAAGACACACATCACTTCTATGGAATATCACTGAGCTGTACATGAACACTATACTAAGTGATCCAGAAACTCTAATGAACTGGAAAAGTTTGCTGATCAGAAGAGATCTATGCATGATCATTGGACGAGAAGACACAGCCAAGTAACTCTGATGATGGGACAGGTAGGTGATCAGAGGAGCCCTATGCATGAATGGTTGGTACAGTTAGGTATGTGATCAAAGGAGCCCTCTGCATGATTAGGTGATTATGGTAGGTGATCAGAGGAACCCTACTTGTGAATGGCTGGAAGAGGTAGGTAGGTGACCAGGGGAGTTCTCTGTATGAATGGGTGGTGGAGGTAGGTAGGTGATCAAAGAAGTTCTCAATGTGAATGGGTGGTGGAGGTAGGTGATCAGGGGAGTTGTCTGTATGAATGGGTGGTAGAGGTAGGTAGGTGATCAGAGCAGTCCTCTATATGAATGGGTGGTGGAGGTAGGTGATCAGGGGAGTTCTCTGTATGAATGGGTGGTGGAGGTAGGTGATCAGGGTAGTTCTCTGTATGAATAGGTGGTGGAGGTAGGTAGGTGATCAGGGGAGTTTTCTGTATGAATGGGTGGTGGAGGTAGGTGATCAGGGGAGTTCTCTGTATGAATGGTGATGGAGGTAGGTGATCAGGGGAGTTCTCTGTATGAATGGTGATGGAGGTAGGTGATTAGGGGAGTTATCTGTATGAATTGTTGATGAAGGTAGGTGATCAGGAGTTCTCTGTATGAATGGGTGGTAAAGGTAGGTGATCAGGGGAGTTCCCTGTATGAATAGGTGGTGGAGGTAGGTAGGTGATCAGGGGAGTTCCCTGTATGAATGGGTGGTGGAGGTAGGTAGATCAGGGGAGTTCCCTGTATGAATGGGTGGTGGAGGTAGGTGATCAGAGGAGTTCCCTGTATGAATGGGTGGTGGAGGTAGGTGATCAGAGGAGTTCCCTGTATGAATGGGTGGTGGAGGTAGGTAGGTGATCAGGGGAGTTCCCTGTATAAATGGGTGGTAGAGGTAGGTGGGTGGGTGGGGTGCAGGTACCTGTGTGGTTGTCCAGCTCCCCATAGTTGGGCTTCTTGGAGGAGTTGAAGTGTTTCTTGACCAGGAAGGATCGCGGCATCTTCAGGCAGGAATGTAGCGGCTCCTCGGTGCGCTCCCTATAGCATTGTCCGCACTCTGGAGGAAGGGGCTCTGCTCGGGCTTCTTGAAAAGTGCTGTAAATAGCTCGGAGTGAAGTGCAGGGGGCGGGGCCTGGTCGGCTCGTCCAATCACCTCCTTCATAGCGGGGAGCCCTCTCACACATCCAGCGTGCGGTGTTGGGAGGGGGGTCGGGGTGAGGATCCAATGATTGTCTGAGAAGGGGAGGGGTCAGGGTACAACTCCTCCCCCAGACTGTCATTGCCTGTCACATCCCTGGCTGTGTGGACTGGGATCGGAGAGACTTGTCCTCTCCCCCCTGTCCCCCTGGGTGATGGACGGCTGTCGTCGTGTACTCCCGGGATGGATCAGCCCGATCCTCCGATCACTGACACTACTATGTCATTGTTAGTAAACAGAGTGTTGTCATACATATAACATGGCAGTGGGTGTAGTTCCTGTGTGAGCTGGGCACTGACACCTTCCTGAGGAGCCCGCTACTTTCATCAACTACAAAAGTTTGGTGATCAGAAGAATTCTCTGTGTGCTGATCAATGCAGGAAAGAAGACGTGTCACTCATGTCATATGAACACAGCTGACTGTATAGAGGGGGTACAACTTGATGAACTGGAAAAGTTTGCTGATCTTAAAGACCCCCTCTGCCCCCCCACCGCCCCCCATAAACCTGTATACCTGAATAGAGAGGAAACAATACAACCAGGGGCGGACTGACCATTTGGAAACTCAGGCACTGCCCGAGGGCCTGGGGTCAGTAGGGGGGCCCCATGAGATGCCCCTGGTACCTTTTTCATAGGCTTTTTTGAGTTTGGGCAAGGACACAGGGGCCCCATGATCCCCTATTGCCCGGGGGCCCCATGAGTTGTCAGTCCGCCCCTGAATACTACTTACCTGTATCCTGGGACTATTCTTCATACTTATCTATTTTTGCCCTGCCTCTGTGCTGCCCTGATCCAAGTTCCTGCACCATTTACAAAATGTCTGTGATACTGCGCGTATGCAGGATAAAGTGCACGACACCAAGTGCTTCAACTCACACATGCGTCAAATGATGCTACAGACATCTGTTGGGGGGGGACTTATTTCCTCCAGCACATTAATGTCATTTTGTAGGGCAAATGCACAAAATGAGGCACATGCTGCCATACATTTCATCTTGCACATATGCAGTATGATAATTCTTCTTTTTCTCCTTGAAGCGGATGATTTTCATGAAGGCAATGATGATGTTACCTTCCCAGGGCACAGCTGTGCACCCGGGGCTATGTCACCACTGCCTGCAGGGAAAGCTGGAATTGGAAGACAAAAAAGACAAGTACAGCAAAAAAAAAACAAAAAGAAGAATGAAAGTGCCCGGTCATAACGGTGCGATTTCAAGTGTGATTTGCAAATTGAAATTTCACTTGAAACTGTATCTAATGAATGTGAATGTCAGTGCCTTAATGTGCGATTTTCTGCAGTGCGATTTCTAAAGTAGTTCTTGCATTACTCTTTCTGAAGTTTTGTTGCAATTTTAAATATGTAGAATACAATGGAAATCGCACTGCAAATTGCAAGAAATCATTGAAAATCTTTACAAGTAGCAATAAAGTCTTCAGAAATCGCACCTGAAATCGCACTGAAATTGCACACAAATCGCATGATTTTAAATTCACATCAGCATGCATAGATGGACACAGATGTGAGATTTAGGGAAAGGTGGGAAAAGTCCACTTTAAAGTATAGAGCCTAGTACACACTAGCAGTGTTTTTTTGTTCAACTCAGTGGGCTGAACGAAAATAAAAAATGACAGCTCAGGAGGAGCCAGTGTACAGACTATGCAATGTTAGTACAGCGATCACCCCTGCTGTGCTATTGTGTTCTGACAGGAGGGACGGCCCCCCACCAGAACATTCCAGTCAGCCATTGGCTGAAAGTGCTGATCTGGAGCCAGTCAGCAAACCTTTTTCAGTCATGCCCCTTCGACAGAATCCAGCCAAACTTCTGTCAGACCGGCTGTCCTACATGTGGGCCGAATGTCGGCCTGTTTCTCTTGAGCCCGCCGATGCCACCCAACATTTGGCTCATGTGTACTAGGCTTAATAAAAGCATTTTTTTTGTTTTAGATAGAGTGGAGAGGGATTAGAACACCTATCAGGTTTTAATCGCTGTCTGTGCCCCCGTTAGGGAGATTCACCTTCGCTATTTGTCCTCTTTACCATTTTCGTCGACATTGAAAGAAAGGTTTGGGTTGACACCAGAACAGAAAGAGAAGAGAAATCTTCCAATGGTGATGCTAGTTCCGTCACTGTGGTTGGAGCTCATCTCACTTACTGTTGTGGTTATGGGACACTGACACCAATAATAACCTGACAGGTGTTCTAATCCCTCTCCACTCTATCCAATGTAGCATCCTCTAGTGTGCAACTAGAATAGTGTAGTGTACTGCAGGTAAAATCATTGTGTATGACTCATGGTAACTGTGCGAGTCTGTGATTGGGGTCGGGTTATTGCAGGTCAGCTGGATGACTTAACAGGTTGTGGCTCTATCGCATCCTCCTGACTCTGGAGGACCAGAGAACCTTTCAGAAGTCAGTAAGCAGGAAAGGGTGGAGACCTAATCTTCATGTTTATGGGAGTCCAGCCAATCCCAAGCTGAGGAGACTGTCAGTGCCTGGGAAGGGTCCCTTAGGTCTAGGGAGGGCCAGCCTCCAGGCTGGGCTCGGGCTGGGTTAGGAGGATCCATTTAGCAGTAGGGCATGAATGGGATCAAGACCTGGAGCAATAGAGAACAAAGAGGACAGAGTGAGTACAGCAGCAATTTCTGGGATCTACAAGGAGAAAGAGTGCCACACGTAGCAAGCTTTCTAAGGACAGCAGCGCTGGGCTCAATCTTTTATCCTTGTCCCGGAGATCTTCTGAGAAGCTAGGAGGGCTGGTAGTGTTTGCAGGCTATGGAGCAGTTTTACAGGGGGAGAGAAGAAGACATCTCCGCATGTAGCTACAAGAAGCTAAATTGATTTCTGGAGGAGCTGCTAGTTCCTTGCCCATAAAGGGCTGTTGCTACTAATCCACAAAGAATGATGACTTTCACGGAAAAGAACCGTCCATGATCTGTCTTTGTACATAGGAAGGAAGTTGCCCTCCTTTCATTGATTCAAGTCAACTGGGCATCCCATAATCCCTATGTCCCTATCCAAGTTCATTTCCCCTAATAAAACAACAAAACCAAGCTTAGGGGCACCTACAACACAGTGGCCCTCACAAGGGTAGTGCTACACAAACTAAAAAAAAGTTTTGCTTTTAGTTATACTTTAGTCTTCATTTACATCGAATCCAACTTTGAAATCTTGCAACTTCACTTGAATTCACACAATTTCAAAATGTCAGTCCAACTTCAGGTGTGACTTGGAAGACATCTGTGAGAGTTCATGCACAGATGTCTATGCAAGTCGCACCAGAACTTGCAAAAAGTAGTGCATGAAGTACTTTTCAGAGTCGGAATCGCACCAATATGATCACTTCCATTGTGGACAATAGGGTGCGACTTGTCATGTGATTTGAAACTAATCTTATGACAAGTCGCACCGGTGTGACCGGGGACTTAGATCACAAAGGGCTGTGACAACATTGATTGGCCCAGTTCTGTCACATGCTCCTCCATACCCAAAAGTACTGAGTATTTCTGTGGGATCCTGACACTACGCAGGACCAAATAACATGACTGAACACCAGATCTTTACAGGCAGTGTTATCCCACTAACAAACACAAATGCTCCTGCGCTTGGGGATGGACTCGATGCAGGCTACAACCACATAAGGAATGTCCTGGAACATGCACACCTTGCTGCCCTTAATAGACCGGGGGAATCCAAATATACTGAATGGGGAAAGAAAAAACAGAGGGCGCACAGGCCTAGTGCATTACCATAAAAAATGTTTAATAAAAAATAAAGTAGGTGTTGTACCCACAAACAACAATAAAGTCAAGGCACATCATAAAGAACAGCTGGGTCAACACCGCGCTGTTACAGTCCACAATAGGGAGTGGAGATATCCAATAGGCTGACGGAATTCGAGGACTTGCCTCTTCCTTAGAGCCAATGCCAATGTGGCTCTGCTCTGTGGACATTACTGTCCATCGTCATCACAATGGATGCAAGTAATGTAAAGTTGTGGCTCTCAGTTGCTATAAGGCCCATTACTTACCTATAACAGCCTCAGAGATGACAGGGAGAGCACAGCTAGTTTTCTCTCTCACTTCCCAGATTCATCATATAAAGTGTAAAACAAAAAGTTTATATATTGCAGTTTACCAGCACTTGTGGCGCTTGCATTTGTTTTTTTTTTGCACTTTTTTTCTTTATTTTCAACCGATGATCCTGCCAGTAACACATTTCCTGCCCTATGATGTTACCCTAGGACAAGAAGTCTTTAGGAATACAGAACGCCTTCCCCTCTCCCCATCCCTATACCATACAGGAGGGGTGCTTTGTAGCTCACAGAAGTGATTTGGAGATTAAGACTTTTGGGGATTTGAGTGAAGCACAGGCAGAGTGCGCAATAAGTAAAGCCAGCCATACACTGATGAACGGGACTGAAATTTGCTTGCTCAACTCCAGAAGGAGCCTTCTGGAAATTTTGTGGCCAGACATCAGCTGTAGCTGCATCTGATGCATTTTGTGGGCGGACAGCAGCTGTAGCTGCAACTGATGCATTTTGTGGCCGGACAGCAGCTGTAGCTACAGCTCATGCATTTTGTGGCCGGAAAGCAGCTGCAGCTCATGCATTTTGTGGCCGGACAGCAGCTGTAGCTGCAACTGATGCATTTTGTGGCTGGACAGCAGCTGTAGCTGCAACTGACGCATTTTGTGGCCGGACAGCAGCTGTAGCTGCAGCTCATGCATTTTGTGGCCGGACAGCAGCTGTAGCTGCAACTGATGCATTTTGTGGCCAGACAGCAGCTGTAGCTGCAGCTCATGCA